TCCCCTTTCCAGCTCTGCTCTCGCCCCTTTCCCTCCTCGCTGCGGAACGACCCCGGCTTGCCCCGCCTGGGCTTGGCGGGCAGGTGGATGCCCCTGCCTGGCTCTGAGGGCAGCGAGAGGAGACCCCGCCGCCCTTCTCCGTGATACCGAGAGCCCCGGCACGGCACCGCTCTCTGAGCGGGCGGGGAGATACGAGGTTGTGGGGATTAGTGAGGATTAGGGGTGTTTCTAGGAGGGGCAGTGGGAAGCTGCTTCTTGAACTTTGATCTGACATCTACGTATATGTGTTGTGAAAACGAACCCTGGAGAGTGATAGTGGTGTCATTAAGGAACGCTTTTCCCCATCAAGATTTCTCTCCCTATTTTTTATTGGTTAATTTTTTTTTATTATTATTACCCTAATTTTCATTGCTGTTGCTTCATACTTTTATCTGGTCTTCCCCTAAGATTCATCTGAAATGAGCTTGCAGAGTGAGTTTGACAAAAGTTAACTAAGATTGTGCCCATTTCCTTTTTAAAGTATGTGACAGAGGGAAATTAATTCTCACCTCATTTCTCTTTCCAGGATATAGGTGGGGGGCCCCTTGAGGACTCACCCTCACCCACCAGAGATGCAATTTGTTTGATGCTTTGTTTTAGTTAGTGGCTCCATCAGGTAGATGCTGATGGAACAAATGTGGGTTCATTGTTCCTTGTCTGTTTATGACTCAAGGGGTTGGCTTGTTTAGCAGCGCTCTCCACCTTCATTAGTATTTGTGGAAGACTCATTCTTGTTGTCCAGTGAAGCCTTTAGGGTCAGTAGATTCGAGGTTTTATTACTTACTGATAGGGTATGGTTTTTTAAATATAAAGTCAACATACAGGTGTTGACGACCTGCATTTGAAGGACCCTGGCATTGCAATGAGGCAACTGGCAATACTTTTGCAATAGCATGGAAACTAACAAATGGGAACTTCTATCCTGGAATGTATATACATTAATGGTTGACTTGGCTAGTTTCTTTCCCGTGTACGTATGTTTCAGCTCTCTGAAGATGTAGTGAACCGAATGAAAGAATCTCCTCAAAGTAAAAGGGACAACCAGAGATCGCCCCATTCATCCAGTGACACAGCTCCATCTTCACCAGCTGCAGAAGGGAAACCCAAATCTCCTACAGGTACTGTCCATTCCCCTCAGGTCTACTGACTGTTTTGACACAGTAGTGCTGCCACTGGATGTCATGTAGTATGCCTGTATCTTTTCAAGACTACCTTGTTGTGAGAGGAGCTCTTTGATTAGCCTGTAACAGTTTTATGTGTGTAGATATTGGCATAATTGAATGCCTTGGATGTTAAGGTCCTGTGACATCCTCTTTATGTTTCTGAAAGGTAGCCATGTCACCTGGCAGTTGAAGAAGTTGAAATGCTATCATTCTTGTTCTGTCACTGGGTGTTTTTCTAGATCCTCTCCTTCTCCATCTTTGGAACACCATCCTTCCCAGATACTTCAATGAACTTGTATCGCTTTGTAAATGTTTCTGGGATTTCAGATGAATGTGCAATAAGCAAGGCAGAAATTTTTTATCTTTCCTTCCTGGCAAGCTGACTTGTCTCCTTTCCATGCACAGGGAGTATATTGTGCGGGAAATACTGCTTTTTGTTCTTTGGAAATAAGCTCATAGGAAAGGATAGACTGACTAAGCAGAGCTTGCAAGTGGATGCTGTGAACTTGGTTTCTGAACTTAACTTTCTTTACAGGTCGGAAAACTATTTGGTTTCTCTTGGTTCTCAAATATACTTTGTTGATATATGTTATCAGTGTGGATTTGTTTAAGGCATCCAGACTACCATGAAGTTAGGGAACCAGGCCTTCACTGTTAAAGATTTGTTTGCTGTTAGCCTACATCTTTCCTGAAAGTGGATTCAGCTTTATGGGTGGCCTAAACTCCATCAGATAATTTCATCTCCACTCATGGGATCCCTTGTAATTACCAGGAAGACCAGGACAGGAGATGAATGGGAAGACTTAATGGAACTACAGGAAGGAAATGGAAAGTAGGACTAAACCCACGCTTATGTTTCCGTATAAACTAGGGGTTTGAGGTGTTAACATCCTTACCTAGAAGTTTCTGTAGCGTGCCTTGTTAAAGACAATGCTGTCAGTGCCTCTGTTTCATGAATTCAAGCTTTATCCATCAAATTGAAGTTTTCTTGAGACTTTTCTAGGTATATTTTTTTTTCTTGATGAGGTAACACTCACATATGGCATACTCTCCTCAAATAAGTTACGATGTGACGAAGGGCTGTGTTTTGTATTACAGTTGTCACATGTTTCTGTTCTTTCTAGGCATCCAGCCACCAGCAAGTAACTCTGATCAGAAGTCTTCTGCTGCAGAGCAGGAACTGTACAGGAGGTGAGGTGAAGTTCTTTAAAAAGACAATATTTTAGCTCCTTTTGGACTATATATATGTATGTTTTACTTCAGTCTGAGTGCGATGACTGTATGTTTTAATGCCTGAGAATCCCCTTTGAAGCCGTGTTCAGTTAAGGGCCATGGAACGCACTTTTTTTTTTATTTTTTAGGGAAGCCTGTCCCTTAGCCAGAAAGAGGTGTTAGGAGAGGGAGCTGTGGGCAATTGGAGCAGTGTTTGGAGAAACAGGGAGGACCAATGTAAAGATCTGGTAACTACAGTAAACTTAGGTGTGATGCACATTGCAAGACCTATAGAGCATAACCTTGTGTATAGTTGTCTTTTCTGGGACAAATGAAGGAGTCTGTGCCTGATACTTCCCTTAGGGATTTTGGAATCTCAGACATGGTGATGGGTTTAATTCAGTTTATACCCAAAATAATCAGATCCATGTTATGTATCTGATGCCATTCCTCTTCCTTTTCCTAGACTGGACATAGTGCCTGTCAGCCAGTGTAGAATGCTATGAATTTTTCATCCAAGGCTATTTTAATTTATTAAGATAGAAATACCTGTGAAGATGGGTGAGAAAATTGCAGAAGAATATGTCCTCTTCTCTTTGTCAGAACCACAGAACTTTTCCTAGTTCTCAGTATTGCAAAGCAGTGAGAACTTCAGTTCTGTGTAACTCAGTAGCTTTCTGTTATGAAACTGCTGGCCTGATCTGTCTGTGTGTTCTTAAAGGTGCTGTAAAGATTGCTCTTTTCCTGTTAATTAATGAAAAGCAGTCTCTGTGAATGGTGAGGTTTTTTTTCGGTATGACAACTGACTGCCAAACTTGTTGAAACAAAACCCTGTTGCATCAATCACACTGTCCTTAGGAAAGTCAGAGATCCATCCAAGGAAGTCTCTGGAAAGCTTGTTTGCTTTCTTGGGGACTGGAATTGAAATTGCTGCCAGTTTTCAGTGCTGAGCTACTGAACTGCATCCCAAATACCTGTTCTGGGAAAGGAGAAGTAGAGACAAAAATGCAGCAGAAAGGTAAGGGAAGACTAGAAAGGGAGGGAGGAGCAGCTTGTATGCATGTGGCTCAACTGTGGAACCTGGACCAGACCTGGATGGGCTGAAATGCACCCTGAGAAAGTTTGTGGATGACACCAAATTGAGGGAGTGGTCACTGTTCTGTGGAGGGCAACATTGCCACTCAGGGGGACCTTGGCAAGCTAAAAGCATGGGAGAAGAGAGGCTGAGGGAACTTCATTGGCTTAGCCTGGAAAAGAAGGGGGATCTAACTCTTTTCAGTTTCCTAAAATAGTAAAATAGAGGCAGTGCCAGACTGTTCTCAGAAGTACACACTGAAAGGACAAGAGGCACAAATCGCAGCAAGGAAATTCTGCCTGGGTGTTGGGGGCGGGGAGGGTGGCAGAAAACCTCAGTCAATGAGCGCAGTGAAGCACTGGAACAGGTTGCACAGGAAGGATACACAATCTCCACTGTCGGAGATCATCAGCGATTGAGTGGAGAAGGCCCTGAGCCACCTGATCTAACCTTGAAGTTAGTTTTGGTTTGAGCAGGAGGCTGGGATAGATGACCTTCAAAGGTCCCATCTAACCTATTTTGTTATGTGATTCACTTCATGTTAATCTCTCTTCGCTTGCATGTGGGATTTCCAAGGCTCAAATTGGACGAAATTTCCTTCATGGCAATCTGAGATGCAGGCATCCAGGCTATGGACCTGACAAGGCCACTTCTCTCAGTGCTGTTGCCGTGTGCATTTTGTGTGGTTTTCTTCCCCTTGTAGAGGAGAAGAGCAGCGTTGTCAGATAGGCTAACTCCTTTTTTTGTTGTACATCCCTTGATCTTTTCCAAAACAGCATCTATTTATCTAGCTAACTACTCTCTCTTCTCACTGTTTTCAGGTGATAATTAAGTACTTCATAGAGCTAAATATAACTGAAGTATAAGCTTATATGGTGCGAAGTCTACTGTTGTTGCCAGAGCTGTACCTCACTGAAGCTGCAGGTCATTTTTAAAGTTTGTTGGACTTTTGAATTCCTGC